TTTTTTTTTTTTTTTGCTTTTTTTTTTTTCGGGATGAGTCTTGCTCTTGTCTATCACCCAGGCTGGGGTGCAATGGCATGATCTCGGCTCACTGAAACCTCCACCTCCCGGGTTCAAGCGATTCTTCTGCCTCAGTCTCCCAAGTAGCAGGGATTGCAGGTACATGCCACCAAACGTGGCTAATTTTTGTATTTTTAGTCAGGACGGGATTTCACCATGTTGTCCAGGCTGGTTTTGAACTCCTGACATCAAGTGATCTGCACCCCCCACATTGGCCTCCCAAAGTGTGCTGGGGTTACAGGCACAAGCCACCGCACCTGGCCCTATTTTTTTTTTTTTTTTTTTTTTTTGCATTTTTAGTAGGGACGGGATTTCACCATGTTGGCCAGGCTGGTCTTAAACACTTGACCTCAAGCGATCTGCCCCCCTTGGCTTTCCAAAGTGCTGGGACTACAGGTAAGAGCCACCATGCCCGGTAGAATCTTCTATTCTGAAACTCAAAACAAAGTTGGAAGGGGTAGTTATTGTTCCTTCATCCATCCATCCATCCATCCATCTATTCATTCATTCGTCAGGTCCTGGGTACAGGCTGGCACTTAGGCCCAGATCAAAGCTCTCAGGGGTCAGACAAGCAAAGGACAGTATCTCCACCAGCCCTCGTGGCACCCCTGCGCAGCCCGGGGCCCACCTCGATAGTAGATGTCGCGGAAGGGCGAGTTGATGAACTCCCGCATGTTGCCGGTGCGCTCCGCGATGTCCAGCAGCACAGGGATGGTGTCATTGCGGCCGCTGCTCAGGTTCAGCAAGGCCTTGGGCAGGCAGGTCTTCCCTGTAGATGGCTCTAGCAGGAGAGACATACAAGATGAGGCGGTGCTCCAGCCCGTGACCTTGAACTTGTAGGCATCGGAGTACAGAGCACTGGGTAGGCGGTCAGACATCTTGGCTGCCAACATCTCCTCTCCGAGCCTGTTTCCTCATCTGTCCAGTGGGTACCCAGGGCCACTCTATCTGCCTCCAGTGGTGCTGAGAGGGTGCAATAAACTCATGGGCTTAGGTGCTTTGAAATGTGAGAGGCTTCAGCCTACAGACTGGTATTTATTTAATTAATCTTATTTGGGAAGATTTTTTATTTATTAATATATATATATTTTTTAAGAGACAGGGTCTCACTCTGTCATCCAGGCTGGAGTATAGTGGTGCAATCCTAGCTCATTGCAGCCTCCAATTCCTGGGCTCCAGTGATCCTCCCACCTCAGCCTCCCAAGTAGCAGCTAAGACTACAGGTGTGCACCTCCATGCTTAACTAATTTTTTAATTTTTATTTTCGTAGAGAACGGATCTCACTGTGTTACCCAGGCTGGTCCCAAACACCTGGCCTCAAGTGATCCTCCCACCTCTGCCTCCCAAAGTGCTGGGATTACAGGTGTGAGCCACCACACCTGGCCGTTGAAAAAGATTTTTGTAAAGTGCTTCATAAACAAGTAAATGGTGAGAATGCTGGGTTAAGCAAAGCCAACCATATTTCCTTACAACAGGACTTCTCAGCGCCTTTCATACACGAACAGGGACTGTGAACCTCTAAAAGCAAGACGCACTAGGCAGCGCTCACCCACCTGTCAGAGCATAGAGTCCTTTTCCCATGAAGCGTTTACACTGCGGCCCCTAGAAGGGAGTGGAGGGGTGTAGCGTTCCCCAAAGTGCGGGACTGTGTGCCACAGTGGACGCGAACTGACCTTAGGAGGGTCAGGAGAGAATCTTGGGGATTCTAAGGGTGCAACAATAATAACCCTGAAGGTTTCATCCACTATTGAAACTTTCTCATGAAGTCATCTCTCTGTTTGGTACTAGCAGGTCCTTAACGCCTCTCACTAACACTTGCTAATATCTCTTTGCAAGTTTCTTCCTATTGCAGCTATTTTTATGGTTACCTGAGTTGATTTATATCTCAAAAGAGTAAGTTGAAAACTCCCCTGTGAATCAAGGACAGGGCAAAATCATGCCAGGGGCTCGGGAATGGCCAGAGAGTGGGAGATGCAGGTGTGGGTTCAGGCATCTGTTCTGAAGCCAGGCACCTTGGGTTTGAGGCCTGGCTTTGCTTCCAACAGCTGTATGACCATTTCTCTGCTTAGGGTCCTTTCTGGCTAAATTAAAGCTATGAAGGGAAATCGAAGAGCAAATCAGTATTTGTTGATTAGCCCAGTACCAGGCAGATAGGAGTCTTTGATAAACATTAGTGTTGCTGTTATCATTCCATGAGACGGGATTTAGGAACCGTCTCCCTGAATGCCAGGAATCAGTGGTGCAGACTCACAGAGACCTGAATTCTAGTCTTGACCCTTCCAAGAGCAGGGTTGTTTGGGACAAGCCTCGTCCCCAGTTGCTTTCCCACTGTCCACCTGGCGCCCAGCTCAGAGGCGACACCATCCCTCTCCTGGAATAATGTGGCCCAGCCACTGTCCCTCCCACATGCCTAAGACACTTCCCTCATTTCCCTCATTTTCCCCAGCATCTCTGGCCTTCCTTCATCCACTTTCCACATAGCAGCTGGAATGGTCACTTCAGACTGCAACTGACCACGGTGAACTACAGGGCTTTTGCATCTGCTGTCCCTGAACCCCCACCCCAATCTGAAACATTCCTCCCTCCTCTTTTCACCTGGTTAACTGCACCTCACTCAGACTCTGCTCAAGTGTCACCTCCTCCAGGAAGCTCTCCTGGATTTTCCCTAACTAGGTCAAATCCTCCGGTACAGACTTTTGTTGACACCTGTTACAGTTTGTAGCTGTGTGCTTATTTCTGTGGTTGCTTGGTCAATGTTCATCCTGTCCAGGAGCCTGTGGGCACCTTGATGGCACGGTGATGCCTGCTTTGCTCACTATTGTTCGGCCTCTGCCAAGCACAGTGCTTGGCATGTGGTGGGTGCCCCACAGCCACTTGCTGAGTTAACACGCATCGAATGAAGGGGAGAGCCGGGCACCCCGGGCAATTCCAAACCATAGGTGACCCAAAGTGGAACGAGAGACCCTGGATTCGGGCTTTCAGACACGGGTTATAGACCCAGGGACTGGACGCCTGGGTGCTGGGAGGAGATGTCAGGAGCAGGATCTTCCCAGAGAGGAGGTGGAACATGCAGTTCCAGGAACCAGCCACCAGGTGGCGAAGTGGCTCTGCCCAGGGTGGGCTGCTGTAGCCAGGGGCTCTAAATTGACAATTGCCAAATTGGAGGTTGTGAAACTTTGCGGAGGGGAGGTGGGGACAGGGGAGGGTGTCCCAGACTTCCCTGATAATCAGATGAGCTCATGACCCTTTAGCCATGCAGGGATGGATCCAGGTTTTATGGGACCTAGACTAAGTCCAGGACCTTAGAAAGGGCCTTAGCCAGGGGCCCTGGCACTTAATTAGTATCACGGACCTTACAGTAAGTCTCCCTCTATGCACATACACTACCCTCTGCAATTTCAGAGACCCACCTCCCACACTCATGCACAGACACACATGGATCTGGGGGTTCCCGGACTGTGCTAAAAGCCCCCAACTCAGTCCTGAATTCAGGAGAAGCCAGAGGCCTTGACAAGCCAGCCTAGTGCTGAAGGCACAGGTGCCAGCGTCCATCTCCCAGGATTCGCTCTACACCAAGATTCCCCACCTTTGCCTCACGTACTTGGTGGACCAGGAGAGGCCATTTGGCCAGGGCTTAAACATGGGTTATCTCCAAATGAGATTATTCATGCCATCACTGAGCTACTCCAGAAGCAGAGAGAAGCCCCACCCTCCCACAACTCTAAACTTGTGCCTCCAAATGAGGCCACATTGTCTGGCCGGGAAACACGAATGAATATTTTTCATAAATCCAGCAATTGTCTTTTTTTTTTTTTTTTT